TCTTTATCATTGAAGGGTTATTGATGGAAAAGACCACTGCAGTGAGCGAGGATTGCAAACTCGTTGAAGCCTAAGCCTAAAGGAAGGAGTAAAAGGCGATGAGATCCCTCTTTGAGATGCGCCACACATCTTACTCTGACCCAGGAATGTTGTAACACCTGAATGCGCGTTGACCTGTACAGTGTCTTCTGAGGTCCATCTGATGCACATTTCGGCGGTAGTCACGGAGGATAGAGGTCCTGATTTGAATGGGATTCAATCCGCGGTTCACCCTCTGACCTCGCGCCACGTAAGTGCCACCACCCATCGCTATAACTTCAGTCCTAAGAAGCTCAAAAATAAATGTACTCTAACTGTTCTGCGTTCTACCTTGGCCCTCTTATTGTGATCCAGGGCGCTAAATAGGCTACATGATAGCGGTTCTGGCATGGTGTAAGAATTCAGAGTTCCGAAGACTAGAGGTTTTACCGCTTCCAGGCCGAACATCTCCGGACATATTTAGGTCTCTGATAACTGCGACAGGGTCGAAATGTCAGGTCAATTATAGTGATTCCATCTAACGGCCTTGATACTGAAAAGAACGATTCCGATTAACTATCGGAATGTTTTGGTCTCATCGAAGTAATTGAATTAGTGATAATTGTGGCGCCGACAAAGCCTCCTCCATAGTTAAATACTCCATTGGACTTGTCATCTTCCAAAGGCAAAGAAAAAATATTCATATAGTGCAACGTACCTTTGGTTACAATCTCAATTATTATGTTAGCGTATAATGGGAAATGGGCGGAGATGGTGTAGTGGCAAGTGCCGCTGCTTACCACGCGCACGGCCCAGGTATGAAATCCTGGCTCGTGTGCCGTGCGGGCCAATCAACCTTCCATCCCTGCGATGTCGGTTAATTGGTACCGACTCCTTTGGGAGGATAAAAGCACTGGTTTGTACTTCGGCTGGCCCCGCAAAGCACTGTACAGTCAAATTTCGCACTTCACGATTCTGGCATGGAAGTAGACATGCGTGCGCATCCGAAAACGGGTTGATAATGCCGAACTCTTTATACGTTATTTATAGGTGGGGATGCCTAAATTTGAAGGAAAGCGGACATTTAATTAAAATCTGGATAATGACGTACTGCGGTCGTACAAGGACGTTACAAGATTTTGTTCAACTGAACCTGTTCAGACCCCCATGTCAGTTTTCTTTTTCTTCCAATCGCTCCACTTCAGTTAACCTTTTCCCGGAGGCTACACACACTGTCTACACCTGATTGATGCTTAATGCTCATAGAAAAGTCCCATTCTTGCCTCGCACTACGTCACGCTCATGTCGTTGGGGGGGGGGGGGGGGGGGGGGGTATTCACTTTAGTGAGCCATCCACTGTAACATGGGACTAAGCCTCAGAGCGGAAAAAAAAAGTGATCCTGATGGAGGTTTGAGTAATTTTCTAGCCATTTCTCCCCTCATAGGCTCAGCTCTCAGTGTCAGTTACCAGGCGGTTTTGAATTGCCTGCCTTGAAATGTCCCCAAGGACAGTGAGCGTTACAGTAAGTAATTTAAAGAATTTTCATGGTTTTACTATAATATACAAGGTGGAGCAAAAATATGAAAACCAAAACGAATGGCACCTAAAAACGTGATTCAAGCCATGATAGGGAGCTATCAGAGATTTATTCGACGCGAAGACTATATAAGAACACCAGCTCTCCCTCGAGATGACCTCCATTTGCTTGGACACAGATTCAAAGATGCTGGGAGGGCACGCTGACAGTGACGAGGAGCTGCAATTCACCTCATTCTTCTATAGGTTCCTTTGAAGAATAATCAGGGTCTTCGTGAGGCTTTGCGCGTACTCGGACTCAAGATTATCTTTAGGAAGGAACAAGCTCGTTGAGCTTCGGTTGAGGGTGAGATGTTCATTCTTCCCTCATCTATTGATCTGGCTGTGCTGAATCCAAGCGCAAAAGCTCGCCTTACCTTTATCTTCGCTCTGAGTTGGTACAGAGATCAGCTGCAACGTCTTTGTTGATTCAAAATGGTCCCCCAACTCTGTGGACTTCCGCCAGTTTAGAAATTAGCACTTTTCGGTTAATCCAAACAACAAAGAACGTCCATCGCTTGAAACCCTCAATTGTGCAGGTCAAAGTTAGAAACTTGTGAAAGCTAAGCTGGCTCTATGATTTCAAAAGAGGATATATTTCCACATTATTCGGAACGGAAAGGCCCAGGAAACTGATTGTAAACTCGTATAACTTGTTTCCAAAAAAAATATTCGCCTTCTGCAGTTGGAATTCATTATATCCACGCATTTGAGTTCCGCGCTAACTTTTGATCCACTTGATATGCTGCCCCTGGACCATTCCTCTTCTTCCCGAATATGTACGCTGTAGAAAAAGTGTCACTGTGGTTCTCAAATGGTGACAACAATATAATCAGTCGGCAATTCCGACATTCCAGTATGCAGAGGAAAATCGAGCACTTCGAAAACATTTCTGTACCCGTCTTTCTATGAGGCTTTATGGTTAGAATAGGCGAGCCGCGATCCCAAGATAGAGCAATCTCAGGGTTAAGCCTAAGAGGGCAGAACTTCGGGGGAAAGTGAACAGTGTTCACCCATCCTAGAGTCTCCCTTCCTCGCCGGAGGCTTGTCCCCGTTTTTGACACAAGGACATGTCTTATGTGTTTTTGAGTGCATTACCACCACAATGCCTCCCGTATATTGCGATAGCGCCGAATATTGAATAGCAGGCACCCACTTCTTGCAATTTTTTCTCCTCAACCTAAAATAATGCGCGGAAAAATCTCTGAATAAATTTCAGCTCAAAGTACATCGGTGGACATACGGATGTGATTGGCGGATGTGTGACAACCCGCTCACTTGACCACTGGAAACGTCTTAAACTTCAGCAGCTCACCACCGGCAGTGCCTTGGTGGGTCGTTGGCCTTTGTGCTTACTGAACTCACAAAACTGTTCTAATAACTCTTCCTTTCAGTCGCCATTTGACGCCGCCCTGTTGGCCCGTGGATTGAAGACCTTGCCATTGCGAGTTGATAAGATCTGCTCAAACGCTCACCGCATTGCGCAATTCCTGGCCCAGCATCCAAAGGTGATGACTTTGGAACTGTTTTAAAGTCTTTTGGTAGTAAACATTTTCATCAAGGTAAGTTTGAAACCAAACAAAAGCGCTAAAAGGCCCTGAATCTACTGATGATAGGGAAGGGTTTGGTAGCCAAAAGGGTCGACCACGTTTTTTTAGCCCCCGCCCTTTAACCAATTACAGTCAATCTCCAAAAATGACCAATTTGGGGTTTTTTCTCACGATTACACGACACAGTCTCGATATCGATCTTTCGCTTGCTTGTGTGACGTTATTGAGATAAAATCTCAGCCACCATCGACTTACCCACGCAAAACGGCAATTACCAAAGGCAGGCTATAAATCCGAGTGACCTGAGCCCGTAGTGATGGATTCCAGGTGCTACACACACACTATCCAGGGCTAGCCAGCCATCCAATGCACGAGGCAGCCAAGATATTCATGAAAAAATGGAGCGGCATGATTGCCTTCGACGTCGGCAGCGCAGATGCGGCTATCACGGTGGTTGAGGTAGGCTCACCAGTGTAACCCACCCCCCCCCCCCCCCTTTCTCCATTTGCTTATCCTCGTACTTTTAGTCAGTCCGACTGATCATTCACGCGGTCTTCACTTGGAGGAACGGAATCGTTGATGGAGCATCCCCATGTCGATGTCACACAGCAGTCAACTTCTTCGCGATATGGACGAACCAATGGTCCCTCCAGGTCTGCTACGGCTCAGGTAATCAGGTGGAGAGGACTACCTTCGGGCCCTACCCTGCTCCAGTCTATAGTGATCAAGAGCTGGCATGTGTACGTAGCACACAGCTCAGCGCGTCCTACTGATAAACACACAAAGGAATTATCACAAACAAAACAACGTGTCAGCGTCCCGTGGCTTCTCAAACGCTGCCGCATGGCAAAATCGATTAGGAAACTGGAGTAAGGGTTGATTTTTTTTGTTTCAGTGTTGGAATCGAAAACGCCGACGACCTCATCGCCGATCTGGAAAGGGCCCTCGCTCGGATCTGATCAACCTCCTAGTGATTTTGCCCGCAATCGCAATAAAACTTTTGCCCAAGTGTCGTAAACCCGGGCCTTAAATGGCGGTGGTAAAGGTGTGGTCGGAATACAATCAAAGAAAGTACCGGATTTTGAAGCAAATTTTCAGACATTTCTAAAAAACATTTACCAGAATGCTAAGAATATTTGATAGTATCAAGGGCGCTATCGCAATATACGGGGGCACCCTTCTACACAAAGCCATGGAGGGGAGCAGGAACTCTTCGAAGGTTGACGGAGGAAACTGTGGTTTCAACAGACGGTTTCGGCTATTTATTAAGGAAAGACGAGTGACTTGTGAGCGCTATCGCAATATACGGGGGCACCCTTCAACAGCAAGCCAAGGAGGTGGGCAGCAACTCCGTGGAAAATGAAAATAGCCCAGTATCTCTTGGA